CTCGGGTGCGCACGGGGGCTCGGGCACGCGCGGGGGCATGGGGGAGGGGGGAACCGGCGCCCGCGCGGGGGGCATTTTTTAAAAATTAAAAAAAAAATTAATTTCAATTTTTTGCGACGACTTTTTTAGACTTGTCGTTGCTAAAAAGTAAGATTATTTGCGACGACAATTTGAAATGTCGTCGCAAAAAATGATCATATGACGAGAATTTTACAGCGACGTATTAGCGACGCCTGTTGTCGCAAATACAGAGTGTCGTCGCAAGAAACATTTTTGCGACCAATTTTTTGCATCGACAAATTTGTGACGACTTATCGTCGCAAAAAACTTTATTTGCGACGACATTCGGGTTTTTACGATGACTTTTTGTCGTCGCAAAAACCCCTTTTTCTTGTTGTGTTCCAAGTATAAAATTTGAGTGTAATTGATTTTCATTCTTGAGAAAGCTTCATTTTTGTTATTAAACCTCTCTCAGCACTATAAATAGTTCTCTAAGATAGTGGAAGATGAAACAATCCATGATTCTTTCGTGTTGTTGTTGCATTTGCCATTTGCCATTCACTATTGAGACATGCCTAATTATTCATTTAAGAAGCAAGTAAAAATAGTTATTACAACAATGGCGTTTCATAATTATATTAGGATGCATGATAAGCGTGATCGACATTTTCAAGAAATCGAGGATAATCTAGATGTTTTCACTTATGAAGAGCATCAACTGGAGGACAATGTAGAACAAGATGAAGCTTCATTATCACAAGAAATGGTTGAAGTACGAGATCAAATTGCAACAAGTTTAATGAACACGACTTAATTCTTTTAATGATTTTATCAGTTTTTTGAACATGAAATGTACTTTTTTGTTCAACAAATTGATTACTCACTAATGATCTTTTTAGTTGTAATTATATTGTGAATGAAGAAATGAAAAAAAATAATAATTATCATAAATTTATTGTTAAAAAACTCAAAATCATAGCATTATGTTTTTTTTTAAGTTAAATAAATATTTCTAAATACCAAAAACAATTAATATATTTAGGTTCCATACCATGTCTATTTTGGTCATTTTACATACTCACAGCAATTCAACATCAAAATTTACCAAACGCTATTACACTGATTTTAGAACAAGCACAGCTACTATAATTACAGTTTACCAAACACTCAGATGCTTCTTGTAACAAATGCTTCTTCCTTCAGCACCGCTAAAAGTAATTTTTCTAAAATCCACAGTAATACCAAACTAAGCCATTGTATATATTTGAAAACATTGTCATAATTATAAGTTTGAATCTGGTAAATACTATATTTACCAGTAAATATTTTAATAGTGAGTAATACTTCTAAATACATTAGTAACTACAATTTTGAATATGGTAAATATTGTATTGACTGGTGAATATGGTATTTACCGGTAAATACAGTTTACCAGTAAATACTTGTAAATACATTAGTAACATTGTCACAATTTACTGGTGAATATGGTATTTACCGGTAAATACAGTGTTTAATGACCACCGGAGCTGGTGGCAAGATGTTCGAATACATTAGATATTTACTAGTTAATACAGTATTTATTTGTAAATACAGTGTTAAATGGTAACCTCTTTTCCTACTCTCTCTGATCTCTCTCTGTCACATTTATCTCTCCTCATCGTATCTACTCCAGCCGACTGTGAGAAGCCACGCAATTTCAATGGCGACGGCAAATTGATAGCGATGGTGTCTCTCTCTCTCTCTCCGGTTCCCATAGCAGGTCAAAGTTCACTCCCATTTTGAAGCTTGGAGTTCGCCATCGATATGCTTCATCTACGTCACAGCCTCAGATTTACTCGACCGTTTTCAGAGATCGAGAGCCTACCGCGCAGCCTAGACTTCTTCGATTCCTCTCTCTCTCTCTCAGTCGTTGGAGATCAGATTTACTCTGCATTTTCGGTGATCACGAGCATACGACGGCGAGCACTGGACGGATGCGATGAAGCTTATTGGAGATTGCGAGCCAACCTGACCACCTAAGGTTTTTTCTCTCTCTCTCTCTGTACTTTTCATCTTTTTTTGTTAGAGATCTCACTGGATTTGGGTTTGGTTGTCTATTTCTCCGTGGATTTTGATCTTGAATTTTTGTAATTTTTTATGTCTGTGATATTTCATGTTTAAGTTTGTTTTTGTACTGTGATCTGGTTTCCGGTGCCGGTATCCATGTCAAATTTTCAGGTAAATACTATATTTACCTGTAAATACTTTAGTAATATGGGAAATACTATATTTACCAGTAAACACTTTAATAATTATAAAATTGAGTATGATAAATATTGTATATATTTGAAAACATTGTCATAATTATAAGTTTGAATCTGGTAATTGATGTATTTACCAGTAAATACTTAAATAATTTCAATTTTAAATATGATAAATACTGTATTTACCAGTAAATATTTTAATAGTGAGTAATACTTTTAAATACATTAGTAACAACAATTTTGAATATGGTAAATATTGTATTGACATGTAAGTACTTTAGATGTTACAATTTGGAATCTGCTATATTTACTGGTGAATATGGTATTTACCGGTAAATACAGTGTTTAATGGCCACCGGAGCCGGTGGCGGGATCTTCGAATAAATATGATATTTAATAGTTAATACGGTATTTATTTATAAATACAACGTTAAACGGTCGCCGGAGTCGGTATCGAATTGTCAGATAAATATGATATTTATTCATAAACACGGTATTTACTAGTAAATACAATGTTAAATGATCACCGAAATCAGTACCCAAAATTTCAGATAAATATGATATTTACTAGTAAATACGATATTTATTGGTAATTAGAGTGTTAAATGGTCACCGAAGTCGGTGTCTGAATTTTCGAGTAAATATGTTATTTACTAGTAAATACGGTATTTATTGGTAAATACGATATTTACTTGTAAATACAGCGTTAAACAGTCACCGGAGTCGGTAGTCGACTTTTTTGGTAAATATGGTATTTACGAGTAAATACAATTTTAAACAGTCGCCGGAAAACAGTCGCCAAAATACAGTCCCAAGTTGCCTGAAAATGGTCTCCGGCAGTCGGAGCCGGCCGCTGGTCCCGACCATGGTGGACTTCATAATAGTCTTCCTATTTTAAAAAATATGTTATAATTTACTATCTTTTAAAAAATTGATGTTTAAAGAGAGGAGTGAAGTAGAAAATGAAGTTTAGGATTATTTTTGGGTTTTAAATAATATTTAAAACTTAAAATATCAAATTATGCTCTAATTAACTATTTTTTAAAAATATACTATAATTTACTAATCAGTTTATATTTCCCTCCGTATCCCTTCTTTAAAAGTTGTTAGTATGAGAGGTAAAGTACTTTTACCCCAAAAGACTTAAATTAGCTGCACAAAACTACAAGTCGTTTGTCTCTATATCGAATGAATAATTCTCAATAAATTATACTTTGGGCGAAAACCTCGTTTAATGTCACCTTGATCTTCTGCTCTTCTAAAGTAGACAAGCTCAATATCGGACGGAGGATGATCTGAACTCCGATTACTTTTAATGGTCTTTTATAAGTTTTTATAAATTATATTATCGAGTCCATTAAATAATACTCTTGCTATATTGACTTGCTCACCATCTGTATATGTTGAATTATTATGTCAATATCTGAGCACCTTTAAAAATAAATTAAAAAAAATAATAATCGACGAGAATAGCACAACATGCCGTCCATAAACGACAATGACATGTCGGGTATTCTTTAACTTAAACAACTGTCGTTTTAAATCACTTTCCTTTTTATTCCAACAGAAAAGGACGACGTAACGTTTACAATATTAGACAGATAACGAAAGACGTCTTTTTCTTCTGACAATTACCAAAATGACGTTTAGTTTTAGTGCTCTTCCTAGTAATGTCGTTTTCTATCAATTCAACGAAATGTCGTTTCCATTCTGCTCTCTATTAGATTATGAACGACGTAATTAAAACTTAATATCTTTTCTTAATTAATGAATTGTAGTGGATTGTGACACATGTCCACCTTCTTTGCTTATTACATATTCACCATCATTAATTTGAGAAAAACTGGGCAGATCAGTGGGTTGGTAAACTAGTGGACGACCTCATATTTGCGAAAATCAGCATTAAGTACCAAGTTACGTAATAAGACTAAAGGGTGGAAACAAATGTTGTCAAAGTACAAATTTTCACACTTATAAAAATCGGTTGTTCTACTTTTCATTATAAGAAGGGGCGTTGTTAATTTTGGGGATGGAGAGGTAGAGAAAAACACAGAAAATTGGTTTTTTTTTTTCCATTAACTTCTTCCTTATTATATTGAAAAATAACAGCAGATAAAAAGCATGTAGTCTCACATTGAGAAGAATCTCTAAAAATTCAGTGTATCAGTTTTGCTTAATTAATATTTTGCCTTCTTATTACATTCGATCGGTTACATATAATTATTGCGTAGAATTCTTAAAGCATTATTTCGCGAGTTTTTTTCTTTTTCTTTTTAAGAAAGTTAAGCGCAAGAATTGAGATCACTCACATGCTTTGAGAAATTAATTTTTGTTGCACCAATTCTTCAGCCAGATTTTAGTGCTTACATACTTACTTAAACATTTTATATTCTTCATTAGGTCGATTATAGATCATTCCCAAACAAAACCTGAAATTTACAAAGTAAAAGTGAACTTAGCTAAAACTAATTAAAAAGTTCGTTACTCATATATATCGCTGGTAATTAGTTATATTCTTGTATGTTTTAACTTGCTAATCTCATTTTCTTTAATGCAAGACATAAGCACACCAAGCAAAGTCTGTCGGTCGTTTATACGTATACCTTCAAGTATAATTAACAAAGAAGAATTAGTGTGAAAATTCGAGCCTCCAATTAAACAAAATATATATATAGGTTCCTATTAGGGGAGCAATCTTTCTGAAGCGACAAGTTAAGAAGCCAATTGTCAAATTAGATTGACACAAAAGTGACTAGCACTTCAAAATCCACTTGAATCGCACAAATTATGTCCCTGATCAAATATATATATATATATATATATATATATATATATATATACTCAAAGACTAAAACCTAGGTATAAAGACGAATATTTTGTGCTATACCTGAAATTTTGCAATATTGTATTGACATGATAGAGATGAAACGAGACATTTAAGCTGTGAATATGAGGATACTCTTACCGACATTGGTTGTGGTCCACATTAAAAACGGTAACTATATATGTGTCAAACCTAGTGCAGTTAGGGCTAAGTGATCTTGTGGTGTCTTTTACAAAATAAATCAATTATATAGTTTGATTGTATGCAACATGTGTCACTTTTAAGTGGCTTTTTTCACATGATTTAAAGGGAATTTCTAGACAATTCTTGCTTTATGTAAATAATTTAATTTGTCATAGACCATGAACGCACTTACTTATCTGCGTGGAATAGAGGAGAATTTTGTGATGGATTATAAAAATTTAAAAATTCATTTTATGAATAAGAATATTTCTCATACAATTTTGTTTCTGTTTCTACGTTCAAGAAGGGAAAAAAAATGAGTAGTCAAACCTAGTGCAGTAATATTGTAAGCAAGTCTCTTGATATCTTTCAGAAAATAAATCAATTGAGATTTTACAAACTTGAATCATTAATTAGGTGCTTGTTACATGATTTGAAGGGGAATTTTTGGATATTCTTGCTCTATGTGAATAGATGAATTTGTAAATATGGACCATGGATGTTCTTGTCTACCTGCTTCCACAATTATATTATGTGGAGGGCACTCTTCATTTAACCTAAGTCGACACTAATAATTATAACAACGATTTCACAAAAGATAAGCATGGACCATATGATCTTGCGGTTATTGCAAGAACTATAACCAAAAGAAAAAAAAAATTGCATCCTTTTCATTGGTTGTTCGGCTTTATTTTTACCTAAAAGAAGAGAACTAAAAACTTTGACTTTTCAGTTAGTGTTTATAAACGTTTGTCAATTAGAAAAAAAAATGTATACTAAATCATTTAATAAGCAATAATATTTTTAGAATGAAGTTTATGAAATCTTTTTATAACTTTCGTATAAGTTTCAAAAAAACCGAAACCTTCTTTGAAAACAAAGGCTAAATTTTATGGTTTTGATGAAAAAAATTTAGGACGGTTCAAAACTCTTCCGAAAAATTATTTAAAAAAAAAAAAACACTTTGAAAGGCAATTTTTAGACTCAGAAATCCAAAAGCACCTCTGTATTGTAGTACCAAACAATCCAATGATATCTCTTGTAAAAGTGATTTTGAGGACTTAAAGTACCATGTTCTAGCTAGCTCCACATTGGCTTTGCTTTTACCCTCATGAAGGATCGCTTTCACCCGATTTTTACCACTTTGTATCTCGATCCATGAGCATGCTCTTTCATCAAAATATCTACCAATTACTAGTGGACCTCACAAGAATAATATTATCTCTCAATAGCTTTTTTTTTTTTTTTTTACAATATCTCTATGACCATAATTTAATGTTGGATCCCTGAGGAACTCAGCCTGTTTTTACATATAAAAGCTAGAAGCAAGTGCTTGGTTGAGCTTGAAAGGCATTTTTAAAAAATGTCTCTAAATACGGAGTGGAAAACAGCATGTTCTCCAAAGCTTCTAAAACCCTTTTTCTTCTTTTTGTAATTTAAAAATAAATAAATAAATAAACAGTTCAAACATTAGTGTCATTTGATATGGCATATCTCAAATTTTGGTACTTATTTGCAATTGGTTGAAGTATTTAGGTCTTCATATAATTATTGCGACATTTTTATTTTCTAGTTATCTTATAATTAAAAGCTTACGTTTTTTAGATTATAAAGGTTATAATTATAACAAAAAGTAGATATTGTTAGTGCATTTTTTGTGTTGGCTTATTTTTGGCAAATTGGTTATAAGATTGGTTGGCATTGTAAATTGGTAGTCCTCTTAAGGAAAGTTTGGTTGTCATGTTTATTGGCTGCAAATCAAAGATCTTGATTGCTGAAAATCAAGAGTGGACTTTCTGGAGCATTATGGCTGGGTCTTCTAAGGAAAGAATCGTGGAAAATATTGAGAATGATTATCTTCTTAATGTCATTGGGGCTGGTGACCTGATTTGTAGTGTTAATGGAGGAGATATTACCATGATTGGATGTGTTTATTGTGGATGATTGAGGGGTGTGATTCTGTGATGGTATATATAGTGGCATGAGGGTTTTGATGCGGTGAAGAACGAGAGATGAAGAATATGTGCTGAATACAGAAAACTGGCGATTGTTCATGTGAAAATGAGATTGTAATGTTAAGTGTCGCTTGATGTGTTGCGACGAATTATTAGAACACTTTCGAGTTGGTTCTTCGGGAGAAGATTTCTTTAGTTTCGGGAGGAAACCATCAAGTCGAGTGGTGCTCGCTGATCAACATTTCTAAAGAGATTCTAGGCAACGGCGACATCGTCAATGAGGGAGTCATTGAGTGTGTAAGACCATTCGGTCCTTTGTAATCTTTTGAACTTAGTGGATTGATCATTGTTTGGGCGTGACCCCGCAGAGTAGGTATGCACACTGAACTGCGATACCATTTTCTGGTGTCCTTTACGTTTCTGCATTAGTTTCCTGCTTTACTGTTTTGCTGGTTTAATTTTAGATTCTTTGTCACAAAAAGTGTTACAATAAAGTGTTATAACACTCTCTGTGACACTGACCGAAAAACATACCTAACAGATATAGCATATGAACATTATGCATGAGAGCAAAAACAAAAACATAGCATATTAACTGTGATTTTTTTTTTCCACTTTTTTTAGTGCCAAATATTAGCATTCGCACTAGTGTTGTATTGTCGGGCAATATATGCATGTGATAGTAGGAAACATAGCACCAGTAGTATGAAGGTTCACATAGAAAAGCAATGCAAGAAATACCCGTATAGGTGTTAGGAATGGTGTCCTAGAAGCATAAGATGTAATAGGATATTTATTATTTATTTAATAAAAGAGTTTATTCATCATTTTATGTGTATATATTTGTGAATATTTTATGAATATCAATGAAAATTCCGTGATTATTTATGTAACTTTAAACATTGTATATAAGTGTTATATACGAGAGAATAATGTTTAAGGATAATAATCAAAAAGCAATGTTCATAATGAATTTAATTAAAGTTCAGAATCTTTAATTAAAACATTATTAATACATGTCATTCCTATTTAGAATGGAATGGTATTATCCGCACTGTTAATATGGTGAGATATGAATGAGTGTATTTCGCATAATGAGATTATGTGGAACAAGGACATAGACACAATATGAATTTATAATAATTCCGTTAAGTATAGAAATTATAATTGAGTCTACCGATGGTCATATATAGAATGATCTTAATCTTGAGTTCTTAATAGACTCCTATTTATGGATTTGTGTCTTTTCATTTACTCGGTACGGATTTTGAGATCCTGAATCCTATTCCTTGTATTTTAGAGACATGATGAAGTAGGTAGCCGGGAATGTTATTACACAAGATGGAATCCATTCCTTCTTAAGAAAGAAGTAGATAAATAATTCTCTTGAGGGTTGATTCGGTACTTGGACCAGTAGGAGCTCCGATTCATAAATGTGTTTTATAAATCACTGTCCATTAGAGAATCAATGGTACTCAAGGATAAAGATATAATTAAAGAGGTTAACGAATTTTACCTAGCTCTAATTATGAATTATTTATGGATGATCGATCTATATGCAATGACTATATCAAATGGACACTTCACAGTTTAAAAGTAATTTATATCTATAATTTCGAGAGTGCAATTCCAAGTTTATAGTGGAGTAACTATTAGAATTAATAGACTTAATTAATTAATTAAAGTGTTTAATTAATTATTAATTTTATTGATAATTAATTATTATTTAAATAATGTGATTATTTAAATTTAAATTTGAACACATCTAGATTTATCCATTTAAACTTATTTGATAAGTTGTTCAATTTAGAATTCAAATTAATTTAAGTTTGACTTAAATTGGAATTTGAATTTGAGCCAAAATTGGACTACATGATAAAGGATGATTTTCTCTTCCTTCCCTATCTGATATTGGCACCTACACAGGGATGAGAATCCCCTATCTTGGCCGGCCATAATGGATAAAGGAAAAGAGAAGATTTTGTTTCAAATTCAAATAGGAGATAATTAACAAGCTTTATCTTGGAGATAGAGATTGGATTCCTTCTAGAAGTTTGACTTCTACTCTATAAATAAGAGAATAGTAGAAAATTGTGGACACAATTTTTAAGACAATTTTCAAAATGAATTTTGCCCTAATTTTAGAGGTGGACGAAATTCTCTAAGAGTGAGAAGGAAAAATTTTTCTCCAAAAATTATACATCGTGCATGCGTTGGTGTTTGTGAAAATTTGAGTATTTATTGTAACCCGTTTTGTCTCATGTGTGCCCACACACGTCTTCGTGGATTCTAGGAATTGATGTGGAAGACATTGGTTTTCTAAATACAAAGCTTTGGAGCAAGGATTGTTCGAGGTCAAAGAACTCAAGTTATCATTCGAGTCGGCCTCTAGGTATTTTTCCTAATTGAGTTCTTAATAATTGAATTAATGAGATTAATTTATTCGTGCATAAATTAATATAATCTATAGAGTATCTCAAAGGTTTTGTGAAAATTTTTGTTATACACAATCCCCCCCCCACACACACACACACACACACACGCTTCCGCATCCGAATTCGATTTGGAGACCAACAATAGGATCTAAGAAAAAAAGTAAAAAATTCTGAGTTTCTAAATAAGCCCTGAAACTAGCAGTAATCTTGTTGATATAGGCTTTAACAGGGAGCATTGTAGAAAAGCGTTAGCAGAAATGGTGATTGTAGATGAGCTTTCATTTAGGTTTGTTGAAGGTGAAGGATTTAAGAATTTTTGTCAAGTGGCGCAGCCTAGGTTCTCTATCCCCTCACGTGTTACGATTGCCAAGGACATTTACCAAATTATTTTGGAAGAAAGGAAGAAACTGAGGACTGAATTTAGTAAGGGCAGTCAGAGGATTTGCCTAACAACTGATTGTTGGACATCCTTGCAAAATATTAATTATTTGTGTCTAACTGCACACTACATTGATAGTGAGTCGACTTTGCAAAGAAGGATTATAAACTTTTGTCAAATTTTAAGCCACAAAGGAGCGAGTGTTGGTAAAGTCATTGAGTCATGTTTGCATGCTTGGGGTATTGAGAGAGTCTTCACTATGACTGTTGATAATGCCTCCTCAAATGACTCCATGATTACCTGCTTGAGAAGGAAAATTAACGGGTGGAAAGGGGTTGTTTTAGGTGGGAAATTTCGGCATGTTAGGTGTTGTGCCCATATAGTCAACTTGATTGTCAATGAAGGTTTAAAAGACCTACAAAATTCCATACTGCCATTCGTAACACTGTGAGGTATGTGAGGTCTTCTCCGGCTAGGTTGCTGAAATTCAAGTCATGTGTGGAGCGAGAGAAAATTGAATACAAAGGTCTGATATGCCTAGATGTCCCTACTAGATGGAACTCCACTTATATGATGTTAGATGCAGCCATTAAGTTTCAAAAAGCTTTTAAAAGATATGAAGAGGAAGATGACAAGTTTGTGTCTTATTTTTGGGAAGATGAGGGGGAAAAACGGAAGATTGGCCCGCCACTTGATGATGATTGGGAGAATGTTAAGGTGTTTGTGAAATATCTGAAGACTTTTTATGATATAACTTTGAAGTTTAGTGCCACTTTGAATGTCACTTCAAATTCTTACTTTCATGAGCTTTGTGATATGCAAAACCAGCTATCTGAATTAAGCAAACAAGAGGATTCTATGCTTTCATCCATGTCTGTGAGTATGAAAAAGAAGTACTTGATCCTAGGTACAAAATGGATTATTTGACATATTGTTTCTCTATAGTATATGATTCTTGCACTTCTGAAACATTATCAAAGAATGTGAAGGATACTATGTACCGACTGCATGAGGTTTATAGTGGGGAGAAGGGTGAATCTGTGACTAATGAAAATAGTGGGGAGGCGGCAACAACAAGTACAACGGAGGTAAAAATAGAAGCAAAAGGAAAAGGGTGTTTGTGGAGCTCTTTTGTTAGGAAAATGAAGGAGAATAATGTGAATGAGTATAAAAATGATGTGGACAAATACTTGACAGACCCTATGGAGGATCCAACTCGGTCAAATTTTAATGTTTTAGATTGGTGGAAGAATAATGCAACTAATTACAAGGTTCTCTCACTAGTTGCAAAAGACATTCTTGCCATTCTTGTTTCAACGGTAGCCTCAGAAGCTTTTAGTACCGGAGGCCGCATCCTCGATCCCTTTAGGAGTTCATTGAGTCCCAAGATGGTAGAGGCATTGATTTGTACACAAAATTGGTTGCGTAGTCGTGAGCAACTCAACTTTATTGACATGGAATAGATTAATGAATATGAAGATATTGAGTCGGGTAATATTTTTACGTTTTACTTATTTTTTTTTTAACTTTATTTTATCTCCTTGTTTATTTTGTTGTCCTAAACTTGATTCTGATGATTTTTTTTGTTATGTTTTCTTCTTAAGATTGGTCAAATTCTGTTGCAACACATGAGTGGTAAGTTGGAAATAAAGGTGCTATTATTCTGGATTAAACTGTTTGGGGTGGACTAAATTTCCTATTTTACTGGACTATCTCTATATGGACTGTTTATTTGACGTATTGTTAATTTTATTTCTAGACTTTATTGACTATTAAGAAGTATGTTGAATGTTATGTTAATGTTTATGGATTGTTTATAAATTTTATACTTTTGGACTGTTAAATAAGGTATGAAGTCATAGATTAAAATTGGTTTTCACCAACCCGAGTAACCCAAGTAACCCGAGCCTACCCGAGGTCACCCGAACGGTTGCGGGTTTGTGGACTTAAGAGAGTGTTGCGGCCCAAAGTTTTCTCAACTCGCACTGATCGGGTCGGCTCAATTTTTTGACTCAATCCGACCCTACTCGGCTGAATTACACCCCTAATAGGGAGTGAACCCATGTGGCTTGTGAAGTAGTAAAGGATTTTGCTAATTTATTTCTTCGGGTTGAGGATAATTCGATTGAAGAGATTAGGGAGCAGATTGTTATCTTTGAATCTGGGAACTTTGACAAGAACACTACACTTTGCCGCGGAAAAAGGGACATATGAACCCAATCGGCGCATGTAATATATGAGATATTTGATCTCTGAATGATCAAAATTGAGCACTAAAAGAAAGGTCAATGAACGCATTATTAATGGGGCTATCGCATTGTTGTTGCACCATTAATGGAAACGGGCTATATATATGTCCCCCAACATATATAAATAATCATGAAGCTTGATACAGGCAATATTCACAGAGAGTAAATTTCTAATTGGCAATAATTATGAGCAATATGAATACTTTAGATTTAATATTTTTTTTCCCCTTCATGACTAGCTGTTACTAATTAAATTGCTATCTTAATTAATTTTTTTATTATGGTCCAAACTTGCTGCAAATTATGTAAATTTGCAAGTGTCTTCTTGAGTACTGTAAACACCAGTGCAGTTACACAGTTTAAATAATTGATAAAACTATCTAAAAATAGAACTGTTAATTGTTAATAACAAGGACTAGTGAAGTTCTGAGCACCTTTTTAGGGGAAAAATCCGAGAACATCACATAATTAGGTTTTGTGCATAAACGACATGCCGTTTGCTCTTTATAAGAGAACGACATGTCATCCATAAAAAAAACGGTGCAAATAAAACGACATGCCATCTGTTCTTAGCATAAACAACTGCCCTTCTGATTCAATTCCCTACCCATATACCGATAAAGTACGACATAGCGTTTAAAATATTAATAGACGAATGACAGTAGACAAAATGGCGTTTACTTTCACTTTTTTATCAACCCTTTTGATAATGTCGCTTTCCATCAAACGACGCGCGTGTCATTTCCTTGGTGTTCCCTATCAAATTAAAAACGACCTTTATTTCAAACTTACTTTGACATAGCACTTAGCTCGCGTTTCCCAGTATGTAAGGACGTCTATGTATTCTTCACCCCCTTTTTTGGGGAAAAATATACGCTGCTACGGCATGCACTCGTATGGTGTTTTTCATATTAGAACAGCAATTGATTATTTGTCGTTTTCTATAAAAGCTTAAAAACATGTCGTTTTTTGGTATTGTTTGTATTTGCAACTGGAATTACAATATCTTGTTTCTTTTTAGGGTCTTTCCTTCTCAAAATTAGAGCTACCTGTCGTTCAATGGATGGAAAATCACGTAAACTAGGTGTCTAACTTTATAGGGGTGATAATTATTTGTCACATAGACACTCCTCAAAACTAGCTAATGTGGTTTTATCATATCATGTTCAAATTAGTCTATTTTTTCATAACCGACCCGACACAAATTGCATTATTGTTATGAAATATATGTCACAATTAATGACCATATCGTCACGAATTAGTTTTTATTTTCATGAAATATTTCATTATATATGCTTTTGTTATACAAACGTATCTTAAGAAACACACTTTTATTGGCATTGTATGTCCTAAGCACCCGGTTTTACTCATCCCTTCAAATTTTAATCGATATCATTCGGTTGCTCAAATGGCGTTTAACACCTTTCCATTTTCTTTTAATATATATATATATATATATATATATATTTTAATATTTTTTTTCCCCTTCATGACTAGCTGTTACTAATTAAATTGCTATCTTAATTAATTTTTTTATTATGGTCCAAACTTGCTGCAAATTATGTAAATTTGCAAGTGTCTTCTTGAGTACTGTAAACACCAGTGCAGTTACACAGTTTAAATAATTGATAAAACTATCTAAAAATAGAACTGTTAATTGTTAATAACAAGGACTAGTGAAGTTCTGAGCACCTTTTTAGGGGAAAAATCCGAGAACATCACATAATTAGGTTTTGTGCATAAACGACATGCCGTTTGCTCTTTATAAGAGAACGACATGTCATCCATAAAAAAAACGGTGCAAATAAAACGACATGCCATCTGTTCTTAGCATAAACAACTGCCCTTCTGATTCAATTCCCTACCCATATACCGATAAAGTACGACATAGCGTTTAAAATATTAATAGACGAATGACAGTAGACAAAATGGCGTTTACTTTCACTTTTTTATCAACCCTTTTGATAATGTCGCTTTCCATCAAACGACGCGCGTGTCATTTCCTTGGTGTTCCCTATCAAATTAAAAACGACCTTTATTTCAAACTTACTTTGACATAGCACTTAGCTCGCGTTTCCCAGTATGTAAGGACGTCTATGTATTCTTCACCCCCTTTTTTGGGGAAAAATATACGCTGCTACGGCATGCACTCGTATGGTGTTTTTCATATTAGAACAGCAATTGATTATTTGTCGTTTTCTATAAAAGCTTAAAAACATGTCGTTTTTTGGTATTGTTTGTATTTGCAACTGGAATTACAATATCTTGTTTCTTTTTAGGGTCTTTCCTTCTCAAAATTAGAGCTACCTGTCGTTCAATGGATGGAAAATCACGTAAACTAGGTGTCTAACTTTATAGGGGTGATAATTATTTGTCACATAGACACTCCTCAAAACTAGCTAATGTGGTTTTATCATATCATGTTCAAATTAGTCTATTTTTTCATAACCGACCCGACACAAATTGCATTATTGTTATGAAATATATGTCACAATTAATGACCATATCGTCACGAATTAGTTTTTATTTTCATGAAATATTTCATTATATATGCTTTTGTTATACAAACGTATCTTAAGAAACACACTTTTATTGGCATTGTATGTCCTAATTAGCACCCGGTTTTACTCATCCCTTCAAATTTTAATCGATATCATTCGGTTGCTCAAATGGCGTTTAACACCTTTCCATTTTCTTTTAATATATATATATATATATATATATATATGAAAAATGGGGCAGACCAGACCAGTGGGTTGGTTGGTGCATATTAATAAGTGGATGACTTCATATATATTTGTTAAAATGATCAGCACTAATTATCAAATGATGGAATTAGACTTGACGGTGGAAATAAATGTTATCAATGGAATGACAAGTAGTGCGAAGTTGATCACTGTTTGTCGTTTAAGAAAACATAATTTAATTGCACATTCTTCAGCCTAATCATTTAAGTGATTAAATTCATCAATATCAGATCTCTTGTCGACGGAGAACCAAAAAAAAAAAATCCTTAAATTAACAAAAGCATTGGAGTAATATATTGAATTTAAATCCAACGAGGTAAAAAAAAAATTATAAACGAAATCTTCATAAGGATCAGAAGTGTAGTTAATTCTAGACCAACTATAATTAGTTATAGTTCTTATATGATTTAACTTGCTAATCTCATTTTCTTGAATGCATGACATAAGCACATACCAAGAAAAGGCTGTCGACCGTGTCACTGTGATTACCTTTAAAAGTAATTCAATGAAGAGGAATGTGAAAATTAGAGCCTCCAAATTGATAATCTTTCTGAAGTGACAATTAGTAAGAAGGCAATTCTAAAATTATTAGTGAACTTTATTCAAACAAATAATTAGTCTAATAGTCCCTGGTCATTTTGAGCTGTTGAAATTGGATAAATAAACTATTTTAAGAGGTATTCACACCTCTTCATCTGATCTTGCATTCTTTTTTTCTTTATTACAATACCACATGCACCCCTCGTACTAGAGTAGGATATGCATGTTTATACATTTATGTGTGTGTACGTATATATATTATATATATATATATATTTTTTTATTTACTTAAAATTTATAATTTAAAAGCCATTACGAGGTATTTTGCGACCATTGATTTGCGGGGGGGAGATATGGGTACTAGTAGAGGCCCGGTTAAGTCCGTAAGCTTTGTTCTTATCGTTACCTTCTTCTTCATCTTCTTCTTCTTTGTCTTCTTCATTGTTCATGTCGTTGAAAGGCTTATTTTTCCGGGCTCCATGATCAAAAGTTCCAACATTAACTTTTCGATCAAGATTATTATTATTCGGTTTCGGATGATCAACCACTTGATCACTCTTGGTGGTGGATAGACTTTTGGATTTGGCTTCAAGAGATGCAAACAAGGCAAAGGTTACGATTAATAGTGCGTGTGATATCTTCATGATGATCAAACTGCTTGGTATATCTTAACCCTGAAATATAAGATGAAAAAAAACAAAAAAACAGAGATGCATAAAAATCACAAGGAGTACAAATTAAATCTAACTCTAAAAAAGAATGGGGAAAAATATCCATATAGATATTATAAGCATAATTCTCCTACTTAGCAAAACAAATAATTACTTAATTAGCGAACGTATAAAATTTAATAGCTAGGGTTTTGAAGGTACTTATACCAAGTTTTTTCCTCCTGTGACAAAACTTTCTTATAAACTTATAAGGGTG